TCCTCCTCCAACCCCTCCTCCTCCAACCTCCCCTCCAACCTCCTCCCTCTCGCAACCTCCTCCTCCTCCAACCTCCCCTCCAACCTCCTTCTCCAAGCCTCCTCCCCTGCCAACCTCCTCCTCCAACAACCCCCACTAACCTCCTCCTCGCAAACCTCGCCCCTCCAACCTCCTTGCTGCCAACCGTCTCTCCTCCAACAACCCCGCACTAACCGCTCCTCCTCCAACCTTCTCCTCTCCAACCTCACCCTCCAACTCGCTTCTCAACCTCCTCCCGCTCCAACCTCCTCCTCCAACAACCCCACTAACCTCCTACTCCAACCGTCCCTCCTCCGAACTCTCCTGCCTCCAACAACCTCGACCTCGCCAACCTCGCTTCTCCAACCTCCTCCCCCTCCAACCTCCTCCTCCAAACAACACCCACAAATACCTCCTACTCCAACCCTCCTCTCAACAACCCGCCCATACCTCCTCCAAGCTTCGTCTTCCAAACCTCCCTCTCCAATCCTCCTCCGCCCTCCAACGCCCTCCTCCAAACCCCCCTCCAACCTCCTCCTCCAGCCTCCCCCCCCCTCCAAACCTCCTCTCCAACCTCCCCCTCCAACCTCCACCCCTCCAACTCCCCCCTAACCTCCCGCTCCAACCTCCTCCTCCTCCCTCCAACCTCCCTCCCCTCCAACCTCCTCCCCTCCAACCTCCTCCCCCTCCAACCTTCCCCCTCCAACCTCCCCCTCCCCCTCCTCCTCCTCCTCCAACCTCCCCCCTCCAACCTCCCCTCCAACCTCCCCCTCCAACCTAACTCGAGCGGCTCGTCCTTCAGGGTCCAGACCTCGTTCTGCGGGTTCTCGACGTGCTCGGCCTCGCAGAAATTCTCGAACTGGGACGTCTCGGCAAAGCAGTGGCTGGGGGCGGCGCCGTTCTCCCTGGTCTGGAATGAGGATTTGCGGTCAGGAAATTCGGAATGGGAATCTGGAATGGGATTTGGATCAGGAAATTCGGAATGGGAATCTGGAATTTGGATTTGGGAATGAGGATCAGGAAATTCGGAATGGGAATCTGGAATTGGATTTTGGAATGAGGATTTGGGATCAGGAAATTCGGAATGGGAATCTGGAATTTGGATTTTGGAATGATTTGGGATCAGGAAATTCGGAATGGAATCTGGAATTTGGATTTGGAATGAGGATTTGGATCAGGAAATTCGAATGGGAATCTGGAATTGGATTTGGATTTTGGATCAGGAAATGGAATGGGATTTGGGATCAGGAAATTCGAATGGGAATCTGGAATTGATTTTGGAGGATGATCAGGAATCCGGAATGGGAATCTGGAATGGATTTGGAATGAGGATTTGGATCAGGAAATCCGGAATGGGAACTGGAATTTGATTTTGGAATTGGGAATCGAGGATTTAAGATTTGGGAATGGGAATGAGAGATTTGGGATCAGGAAATTCGGAATGGAATCTGAATTTGGATTTTGGAATGAGGATTTGGGATCAGGAATCGATGGGAATCTGGAATTTGGATTTCAGAGTATGATTTGGATTTCATATTGTGAGATTTGGGAATGGAAATGAGGACGTGGAACTAGGAAATTCGGAATGGGAATCTGGAATTTGGCTTTCGGAGTGTAATTTTGGAATGTGTATTTAACATTTGGGAATGAGGATATGGAATTAGGAAATTCGGAATGGGAATTTGAGGTTGGGATTCCAGAGTGAAATTTTGGAATGGCCATTAAGACTTGGGAATAAAAATTATTAGGAAATTAGGGTTGGGAATTTGGAATTCGGAGTGTAATTCTGGAATGGGTATCGAGATTTGGAATTGTGAATTTAGGAATGAGGATTAGAATTTCGGAATGGGAATGATGATCCAGGGATCAGAATTTGAGGAGAAAAAAGTGTTTTTTTACGGAAAAATATATAGCTTATGTGCTGGAAATATAAAATTGAATGTAAATACAGCAGATATACAAGCTCTGTTGCAATACAGAATGTATATAACCTCTAAGCTGTAATATACCGTAAAAATACAAATATGATGCAATCTAAAACAAATATAAAACTTATATGCTGATTTATTAGGTAAACATACAACTCACATATTACAATATACAACAAACAAGCAACTTATATGCCTTATAATATACAGCAAGATACAACTGCTATGTTGTAACATAAAAGAAAGATATAACTTATATGCTGATATATACGGCAAACATATAACTCACATATTACAATACACAACAAAAAAACAACTTATATGTCATACAGCAAAAAATAACCAACAATTCAAGTCTTATACAGAAAAAAATAACCAACAAGTCAAATACAGAAAAAAATCAACAAGTCAAGTAAAAAAAATAAAAACAAGTCAAGTCTTATACAGAAAAAAAACCAAACAAACTCAAGTCTTATAATATACCATCAACAAAATATTAAACAACAACTCGTCTTATAACACAGTAAAAACAACAAATTTTCAAAAGGAGAGCT